AGTCACAGGCAAATTGGCCATGGAGTACACAACGAAGTGGGGCAAAGGCTAACAGAGTTTTGTCACAAGAAGGCAATGGTCATAACAAACACCCTCTTCAGCAGCACAAGAGAAGACTCTAGACATGGACATCACCAGATGCTCAACACCAAAATCAGATTGATTATATTCCTTGGAGTCAAAGATGGAGAAGAACTATACAGTCAGCAAAAACAAGACTGTCAGCTGATTCTGGCTCAGATCATGAACTCATTAATACCCACTTCAGACTTTAACTGAAAGTAGGGGAAACCACTGGATCATTCAGGTATGACCTAAATCAAATCCAGTGTGATTATACAGTAGAAATGACAAATAGATTTAAGGGATGAGATCTGATATATAGAGTGCCTGAAACTAAGGATGGAGGTTCATGACATTGTACAGGATGCTGTGATCAAGACTATCTCCAAGAAAAAGAAATGCAAAAGGTAAAACGCCTGAGGAGTCATCACAATTAGCTGACAAAAGAAGAGACACTAAAGGGAAAGGAGAAAAGGAAAGACATATCCATCTGGATGCAGAGTTCCAAAGAATAGCAAGGAGAGATAAGAAAACCTTCCTAAGTGATCAGTGCAAAGAAATAGAGAAAGACAATACAATGGGAAACACTAGAGATCTTCAAGAAAATTAGAGATACCAAGGGAATATTTCATGCAAAGATGGGCACAATAAAGGACAGAAATGGTATGGACCTAACAGAAGCAGGAGATATTAAGAAGTGGTGGCAAGAATACACAGAAGAACTGTATAAAAACGACCCTCATGACCCAGATAACCACGATGATCAGATCACTCACATAGAGTAAGACATCCTGGAGTCTGACATTAAGTGGGCCTTAGGAAGCATCACTCTGAACAAAGCTAGTGGGGGTGAGGACATTCCAGCTGAGCTATTTCAAGTCCTAAAAGATGATGCTGTGAAAGTGATGCACTCAATATGCCAGCAAATTTGGAAAAATCAACATTGGCAGCAGGACTCAGAAAGATCAGTTTTCATTCCATTCCCAAGGAAAAGCAATGCCAAAGAATGCTCAAACTAAGGAGAATTGCACTCATCTCACATGCTAGCAAAGTAATGCTGAATATTCTCAAAGCCAGACTGCAACACTGTTGATGTTCAAGCTGGATTTAGAAAAGGCCAAGGAACCAGAGATCAAATTGCCAACATATTCTGGATCATAGAAAAATTGAGAGCTCCAGAAAAACATCAAGTACTGCTTTATTGAAATGTCAAAAACTTAACTGTGTGGATTACAAAATAATGGAAAAATTCTTCAAGAGATGGGAATACCAGATCACCTTACCTGACTCCTGCAAAGCTTGTATGGAGGTCAGAAGGAAAAGTAAGAACTGGAAATGGGACAACAGACTGGTTCCAAATAGGGAAAGGAGTTCATCAAGGCTGTATATCCTCTCCCTGCTTATTTAAATTATATGCAGAGAACATCATGAAAAATGCCAGGATGGATGAAGCACAAGCTGGAATCTAGATTGCCAAGAGAACTACCAATAACCTCAGATATGCACATGACACCACCATTATGGCAGAAAGTGAAGAAGAACACCAGAGCAACTTGATGAAGGTGAAAAAGGAGAGTGAAAAATTGGTTTAACACAACATTCAAAAAGTGAAAATCATGGCATCCGGTCCCATCACTTCATGAGAAAAATGGGAAACAGTGAGAGACTTTATTTTCTTGGGCTCCAAAGTCACTGCAGATAATGACTGCAGCCATGAAATTAAAAGACCCTTACACTTTGGAAGAAAAGCCTAGACAGCATATTAAAAAGCAGAGACATTACTTAGGCAACAAAGGTCCATATAGTCAAAGCTGTGGTTTGACCAGTAGTTTTATACTGATGCAACAGTTGGACCATAAAGAAGGCTGATTATGGAAGAATTGATGCCTTTGAACTGTGATGTTGGAGAAACATTTTGAGAGTCCCTTAGACTGCAAGCAGATCAAATCAAAGAATCCTAAAGGAAATCAATCCTGAGTATTCTTTGGAATGATTGATGCTGAAGCTGCAACTCCAATACTTTTGCCACTTGATGTAAAGTGTTTACTCTTTGGAAAAGATTGAGGGCAGGATAAGTAGGGGATGACAAAAGATGAGATTTCTGATTGGCATAAGTGACCCAGTGGACATGTGTTTGAGCAAAGTCTAGGACATAGGGAAGGACAGTGAGACCTGGTATGCTGCAGTTCATGGGGTTGCAAAGAGTCAGACTTGACAGCTCAACTGAAAAACAGCATCACCTCACACCATTCAGAATGGCTATCATCAAAAAATCTACAAGCAATAAATGCTAGAGAGAGAATGAAGAACAGGGAGCCCTCTTGCTCTGTTGATTGGAATGTAAATTGATACAGAGACTATGGAGAGCAATATACATGTTCCTTAAAATACTAAAAATAGAACTACTATAAGATCAGGATATACTCTAAGAAAACCATATGTGAAAAAGATATATGCACCTCAAATCTCATTGCAGCACTATTTACTAATACAATAGCCAGAGCATAGAATCAACCTAAATGCCCATCAACAGATTAATGGATAAAGAAGGTGTGGTACATATATACAATGGAATATTACTCAACCACAAAAAGAAGTGTAACTGGATAATTTGTAGAGAGATGAATTGACCTGGAGTATGTCTCAGAGTGAAGTAATACAGAGAAAAAATAAATATCATATATTAATGCATACATGTGGAATAAAAAAAAAGGTACAGATTAATCTATTTGCAGGCCAGGGGTGGATATGCAGACATAGAGAATAGACATGTGAACTTGGGAGGGGGGGTGAATTGGGAGATTAGGTTTGACTTATATACCCTAGCATATGTAAAACAGATAAATAGTGGGAACCTGTTGTATAGTGTACGGAGGTCAGTTTGGTGGTCTGCAGTGACTTAGATTGTAGGATGGGAGTTCACAAAGATGTCCAAGAAGGAGAGTAATATATACACATATAGCTGATTCACTTTATTGTACAACAGAAACTAACACAACAATATAAAACAACTATACACCAATAAAAATTTTGGAAAAGAAATAAAACTATCACTGTTTATGGAAAATATGATACTATATATAGAAAATCTTAAAGATACTATGCAAAGCTACTAGATCTTAGAAATGAATTTGTTAAATAAACAAGATACAGAATTAACTCATAGAAATGTGCTGCATTTCTATACACCAGCAATGAATGATCAGAAAGAAATCAAAGAAAAAATCCCATTACCATTTCATCAAAAAGAATAAAATATCTAGGAATAATCCTACCAAGGAAGCAAAAGACCTGTGCTCTGAACAGGATAAGACGCTGATTAAATAAATCAAAGATGACACAATCAGATGGAAAGAATTGGAAGAATCAATATTATCAAAATTACTATAGTACTCAAGGCAGTCTACAGAGTCAATGCGATCCCTTCCAAACTAGCAAGCATATTTTTCACAAGCTAGAGCAATTAAAAAAAATTGTGCATACAGAAAAGTCCCTGAATGGTCAAAGCAATTTTGAGAAAGAAAAACAGCGGTGGAGGAATAAGATGACTCCCTGACTTCAGGCTTTACTACAAAGCTGCAGAATCAAGACAATATGGTACTGAAACATAGATCAGTGAAACAGGATAGAAAGTCCAGAAATAAACTAACAGACCTATTGCTAATTAATCTATGACAAAGGAGCAAAACTACAATGGAGAACAGACTGGATATTCAATAAGTGGCACTGGGAAAACTGGATAAATACATCTAAAGGAATGAAAGAAGAACATTATTTGACATCATACAAAAAAATTAACTTAACATGGATTGAAGACCAATGTAAGATGGAACACCAAAACATTCTCTGAATAAATTGCAATGATACCTTTTTTTGGTCTATTTCTTAGAGTAATGGAAATGATAACAAATCTAACAAATGGGATCAAATTGAACTCAAAAGCTGTTGCACAGCAAAGCAGAACAGAAGCAAAATGGGAAGGCAACCCTCAGAGTGGGAGGAAATATTTGCAAATGAAGAAACTGACAAAGAATTAATCTCCAAAATATTGCAGCAGCACAGATAAACCTGGAGATTATAATATTAAGTGAATAAGGAATACAGAGAAAGACAACTATCACTTTGCTTATATATGCAATCTAAAAAAACTGATACAAATGAACTTATTTATAAAGCAGAAACAGACTAACACACTATAAAACAAACTTATGGTTAGAAAAGAGGCCAGGTAGGGTGAGCAATAAATTGGGAGTTGGGATTAGCAGATACAGGCCACCATATTTAAAATAGATGAACTAACAAGGACTTACTATATGGCATAGGAAATTCTGCTCAATATTCTGTGAAAATGTAAATGTGAAAAGAAGTTTAAAAAGAATAATATATATATATATATATATATATATATATATATACATGTGTGTATATGTGTGACACTAACACATTGCTAATCAAATACAATCCAATATAAAATTAAAATTAAAAATAAATCTCTGCCTTAACATCTCTTAAAGTATGAATATTTCTGGCATTAAGTGATGATCTCTTCCAAACCTACAATACCTAGAAGAGTTATCAGTAGAAGAAACATGGCAGAGATCTTCCTGTTCAAATGAGCATTGGAATAAAACAAACAAACAAAAAATTCAAAAACTTTAGCATTAACAGAATATGCAATCACATAATGCTGGATTTTCTAGCTTTACTTAGAAATCATGATGGATTTGTGTTTAAAACTGAGTATGTATTTCCTAACTCAGTGTATTGAGTTTTTTTTTTTTTCCTATCAAAGCAGTTGCTTTTCATTTTAACCCATAATACAAAGTACACACTTCAAAGTTCAGCCCAACCTACTATAACTCTGTTAAAGAGAGATCTTCGGATTGTGTTTCATGCGTTTGGTTTAAGCCCAGCTTTCATTCAAGCAGGAACTAACCATGAAGACCCTGAAAGGCTTCTGCGTGCTTTTCATGTTGCAGCTATGTCTCCTTGACTCTGGAAGGACGGGCAAAGTTCTTGTATGGCCTGTGGATTTTAGTCACTGGATTAATTTACAAGTGATTCTAGAAGAACTTCACCTTCGTGGGCATGAGATAACTGTCCTGGTACCTTCACAAAGTCTTCTGATTGATCATACTAAGCTTCCCTATAATGTGGAGATCCTCCAGCTTTCAGTAACTAAAGAAACATTCATGGAAGAGCTCAATACCCTTCTCTATGAAGCTACGTTTGAACTGTCAAAACTCTCATGGTGGGAAAGACAAATAAAGCTGGCAAACATAGGCAGAAAATTTTTATTAACTATCAAAAGAGTGTGTGACAGTGCTGTCACAAACAAGGAATTACTCAGCAGGCTGCAGGCAGCCAAGTTCGATGTCTGTATTGCCGATCCTTTAAGTTTTTGTGGGGAACTGGTGGCTGAACTTCTGAATATTCCATTTATGTACACTTTCCGGTTTTTCTATGGGAATGTCATTGAAAGACTGTGTGCTGGGCTTCCTATGCCTTCTTCATATGTTCCTGGTGTCACATCAAGATTTACAGACAACATGACTTTTATACAGAGGCTGGAGAACTGGTTACTGTATACAGTGAATGATGTGATATATTCATATTATGTATTTCCAGAATGGGATGAATATTACAGCAAGGTTTTAGGTAAGAGAAATATGTATATAATAAGTATTCTTATAGCCTATAAAAATGTAAGTATTTATCTGACTGTATGAAAACTTACAAAACATAGTTTAGGTGAAGGAGATCCAAGCACCTGTGGCTACACTGTTTTGAATTTAAGAAGTAAAAGCACTCTTTTTTTGGTTTTGTGTTATATGATTGAATACTGATAACATTCCCTCCTCCAGGGGATCTTCCCAGCCCAGAGATTGAACCCAGGTTTCCCCAAATCTGACAGTTTGCTTAATTTCCATAAACCTGGACTACTTCTCTGAGTTTTGCTTCTGTCTTTTTGCAGCCTGTTTTCTTTCTGATTAGCTTGCTCTTCCTAAGGCTTTATATTTATATCTTGTGAAGGAATGGTTAACTGGTGGCCAGGTTTATAATGCATTGAGCATGAAACTAGAAAATAAATCCTGTGGTTTGGTTCCATCTGCTCTTGTCTTCCAAGTGTAAAAAAAAAAAAAAAAGATATTTTTCTAAAGGACCATGTTTCCAGATTTTGTAAATCACCTCAGTGTTTTGCTTCTGTTGTTTTATTTAAAATTGCATTAGAGGTGAACTAGTGACTTTTAACCCTGAGCTCAAAGTTTTTCTCTACTCTGATTTGATCATACCAATGTTCCCAATAATGTGGAGATTCTCCAGCTTTCAGTAACTGAAGAAACTTTCATGGAAGAGCTCATGAAAGTCCATTCACCCCTTCTTTCATTCCTTTTGAATAATTTATTTTTTTATTATTTTTGTGTGATTATATGATTATGTTAAATGAATTTTGCATAAGAGGTAAATTACCTTTGAGAAAGCAGTATCATTTTTACATTATTTAGCTAGATTTTTTTAAAGGTATTGCTAACATGTAACATTCAGAAAACTAAGATCATGGCATCCAGTCCCATCACTTCACGGAAAATAGATGGGAAAACAATGGAAACAGTGGCTGACTTTATTTTGGGGGGCTACAAAATCACTGCAGATGGTAACTGCAGTCATGAAATTAAAAGATGCTTACTCCTTGGAAGGAAAGTTATGACCAACTTAGACAGCATGTTAAAAAGCAGAGACATTATTTTGCCAACAAAGGTCCATCTAGTCGAGGCTATGGTTTTTCCAGTAGTCATGTACGGATGTGAGAGTTGGACTATAGAGAAAGCTGAGTGCAGAAGAATTGATGCTTTTGAAGTGTGGTATTGGAGAAGACTCTTAAGAGTCCCTTGGCCTGCAAGGAGATCCAACCAGTCCATCCTAAAGGAAATCAGTCCTGGGTTTTCATTGGAAGGACTGATATTGAAGCTGAAACTCCAATATTTTGGCCACCTGATGGGAAGAGCTGACTCATTTGAAAAGACCCTGGTGTTGGGAAAGATTGAGGGCAGGAGGAGAAGGGACCACAAAGGATGAGATGGTTAGATGGCATCACCAACTCAATGGACATGAGTTTGGGTAAACTCTGGGAGTTGGCGATGAACTGGGAGGGCTGGCATGCTGCGGTTCATGGTGTCGCAAAGAGTCGGACACGACTGAGCGACTGAAGTGAACTGAACATTGTATTAGTTTCAGTTGGTACAAAAAATTAATCAAGAATAAACTTAAGAAAGAAAATGGAAAATTTTACTTGAGCCAATCTGAAGGTTGTAATCCTGGAGAAAGTCTGTCAGGAAGACCTGAGGAATGTTCCGCACATTAGAAGTCAAAGTAGTGTCATATAAGTTTTTGAGGAAAAGAGTTATACATGAAAGAGTCATCCATTCAAGCAATATATTGTCAGTTTATGTAGTCCTAAAAAGTGAGTAGTGGGTCATTGTGACCCCTTAAGGGATTAAGAAAGGAATGTTACCTCCTAAAGCATTACCTTGCTGGGGCCAGGAGGAAATTGCTTTTTTGTAGAGTAAACTTTCCTGTGTCTTCTCTGGGGATCTAGTTAATACAAATGCAGAAGCACATTGCACGCTAAAACGAGGGGTGTTGGACACTGACTCAAGTGGCAGAGAAATTTTTATGCACAATTTCTCTTGCTCTGCCTTAAAATAATTTTGTTTCATTACATATATACAACACAATGATAAGATATTTCTACATATTATGAAATAATCACAATAACTCTATATAATATCCATCAGTACACATAGTTACAAATGGGTTTTTATCTGAGAACTCTTAAGATCTACTTTCTTAGCACAATACAGTATTAGTAACTATAGTCTCCACACTGTAAATTACATCTCTAGATTACTTACTTTAGAACTGGAACTTTGTACCATTTGACCACTACCTGTTGTGATCATGCTACAACCCTAGTATCTGGCAACCACCAATTTTCTCAGTTCTATAGTTTGGTTTAGTTTTTAGCTTTTTTTCTTTTAGATTCCACATATAAGTGATATATTTCCCTGTCTTACTTCACTTAACATGATATCCTCAAGGTCCATCCATGTTGAGGCAAGTGGCAAGTTACCCCTGTTTCTCGTGATTTAATAAAATTCCACTCTATCTGTAATGATATTTTCTTTATCCATTCATGTATTTATAAACACTTAGATTGTTTCCATAATTTTGGCTATTGTAAATAGTGCAGCAATGAGCTTAAGAGTGCAATGATCTGGTTTTTTTTTTTCCTATTTTCCTACCGGTAAGTGGAATTTCTGGATCATATGGTAAAATCAAATAAAATCAATTTGTTTTTAAATTTTAAGGAACATCCATAACATTTTCCTTATTGGCTGTACTGATTTACATTTGCACTAATAGTGTAAAGTCGTCTCTCTTCACTACCTCCTCACCAGCACTGTCTCTTATCATTTTGATGATAGCCATCATAACAGGTATGAGATGTTAATTCCTTGTAGTTTTGCTTTGAATTTTCTTGGTCACTAGTAATGCTGAGCATCATTTCAGGTTCTTGTTGACTATCTGAATATTTTCTTCCAATAAATGTTTATCCAGTTCCTCAGCTAACTTTTTAAAATTTAATTATTTGATTTTGTGCTATTAGATTGTTTGAGTTCCTTCTATATTTTAGGTGGTAACACCTACACAGGCATATGGTTTGCAAATATTTTCTCTATTTTCATTGGCTGCCTTCTTATTTTGTTGATCGTTTCTTTTTCTGTGCAGTGTGCAGAACTTTCTAATTGGAAGCAGTTCCACTTTTTGTCTTTAATTTTTCATTTAATTTTGTTACTTATAGTTGAGGTGTTACATTTTAAATTCACTGCCATGATGAGTGTCAAGAACTATTTCCCATTTATTTTCCTTGAGGAATTTTATGGTTTTAGGTCTTATATTTAACTCTTTAATCCATTTTAATATAATTTTGTAGTGGAGTAAGATCAGGGTCTATTTTTTCTCCTTTGTATGTGAATATCCACTTTTTCAGCAAGAATTATTTAAAAGACTATCTTCTTTCATCGAATATTTTTGACTCTCTTGTGAAATATTAGTTGAATATGTATGCATGAATTTATTTGGGGGCTTTTACTTCTGCTCCAGTAGACTAAGTGACTCCTTTTAGCTGTATCATTTTGATTACTATAGCTTTATAATATTTTTTAAAATCAGATTGTGTGATGCCTCCAGCTTTGTTTTTCTTTCTCAGGATTGATTTGTCTATTTGGAACTTTTTCATTTTCATATGAATTTTTTTTATTATTTTCCTTGTTACTAATTTTAACAGATGTATCTCTAATATCCTATCATTACTAAAAGTTGTGTTTATTCCCCAAAACTTAAAAAAATTGTAGTTGTGATCTCTTCTTTTATATAGCCACTTCCTTTTTCATTTTTTGGGTATCTATTCAATATTTCTTCTGGAAAATTACTCAACAACTCAGAAGCAACATGACTGCTTCTAATGAACTATGCCACTTGGCAATATGTAATATGTTCAAAAAAGCATATGATCTAATCAGTGTTATACATGTTATACTGAAAATTGGGCATTTTGTGACAGAAACAGGTGCTTATATCTGTAGACCTGGCCCTATAAAATATGGGCAGAAACCATCACACATTCATGTTGAGAGTTCAAGGTACAAGAGGCAATACTGAGAAAGATAATTTAAAATCTCATCAAGGTGACATTTTCTGAGTCATGGTTTAATCTTTTATTGATCTACAGCTGGATTGAGCTGGTTTACTTCTGGTCCCAGCAGACTGACACTCAGTTTAGGAAAATCTTTTCTAGTGTTAGGGTATTACACTATCCCTAATTCTTCCATAGTTCTTAGCAACTTAGAATATTCTTTGGTGGAATATATCAATAATCTGAGAAGAATAATTAAATACTTGTTAAATAGAAGAAATGCATTTCTTTTACTTATATATGTTAAAATGCTACAAGATATAGATGCAATCTGGCTACTCAGAATTTAAAATCATCATTATACAATGCATTCCAATTATACCTTACAAATTTTAAAATATAACTCATAATTTATAAAATTTTTCATTTAAATATGTCATAGATATGTTCAAATAATTGATGAATAAACCAGAGAGATAGCATTCATTTCAAAAAATTGAGAAACTATTTATAAACCTCTTGGGGGATAAAGGAATTTTAGGATAAGAGCACTAGGTTAGACACAAAAATGGTCCAAAAAAATCCTATAGGGCATTAAAATCATAATTTGGGAAATGATAGTTTCTACCAGACAGAAATATGCCAGTTAACCATTCATTTTAATGTATTTTAACCCAAAAGTTAGAAAAATTAAAAAAAAAAAAACCTAAAGTGTGCACACATTTTCATAAAGATATGGGTTGAGTATGAAACTGGATATTGTCATCACCAGAGTCAAGCTCCTCATTTACTGAGAGTTGCCTTGATCTCTTATGAAGATAGACCTTCCTAGGAGTTCAAAATCCCTTATATTTTTCTAATAAAAACCTTAGCACACTTAGAACATCAAGAAGAATATTCAAAAAGCCATGTAGTGAGAAACCAGATAGCTATGGTTTCCTCCTATTGGTGACACAGAGCACATATTTCAAAAGGACACCAAAAGTCTGGGTAAGGCTCGGTATACAGCAGCAGATACACAGAATTCAGAGATGAAACTAAGGAAGATGATTCAATTCAGGGTCACTAATTTGAGTTCTTATTCTGTAAATATTCACTTGGTTTCCAATTCAGTTCAAAGGAACCCTTTTGTGCTGTTTGTTAACTAAATATGTAAAAATAGCAAATATTTCACAACCAGATTATTGTGCAATGCAGTATCTTTACCAAAGAGGATGGAATCTTGTAAAATAAGAACTCTCCTTTACCATAGCAAAGGAAACAATCACTTTAAGAATTGTACTAAAAATATTCAGGATGTAATTTTTTGTGACAGCACACTTGAAACAGTAGAAAAAAGAAGGATAAAACACAAGTTGATTTTCAGCATAGTCAGAGACTTTTGGGGCAATGAGGATGAGATAAATTGGGATTCCAGAAGGTGTGACTCTACCACAGAAGGCTGAAGATCACTGCCTAAGTTTCTTGTACTTACTAGAAGCACATGAGTGGGTTCAGGCTTAGCTCAAGAAGACTCCATTGATAGAGAGAAAGTAACAGGCTTTTGGTTTTGCTCCATACTTATATCTGTTTTCTTATTCATATTCTGACTATTGTGTCCTCTTCAGGGTAAAAGGCCAACTGACATATAAGCTGGGTTACAAAGGCTCAGTATTGGTCTTCAAGAATTTACTTAGAAAATTAGGTGGAGAAATATCTCCCATTTACCATATCAGATTGTTTTCCCTCTATTATCCTTCATTTTTTTTCAGGAAAACCTACCACAGTATGTGAGATTATGGGGAAAGCTGACATGTGGTTGTTTCGAAGTTACTGGGATTTTGAATTTCCTCAGCCTTATTTACCTAACACTGAATTTGTTGGAGGACTGCACTGCAAGCCTGCAAAGCCCCTACCTAAGGTAATTAAATGTGCTTATTATTTTCCTATAGGAGTATTTATCTCTTAAATGATTTCTAGTTAATTATTATTAAGATTTGGTCTACAAACTGAGAATACAGAATAGAATTTAATGGTCATTATTTTCTTAGATTATACACTACAGTCAGAAAGTGAATACCTTTATTTTGGATTATGTATTATTATCTGATTGAAGTAGTCCTCAATATTTTTTGTTGTTGTTGTTCAAAGCCCATTCACTATTCATGAAAATCTATTTTATATAAATTCTAAAATATTTTCTAGTATCTCAAGAACACTATGCTATAATTGAAAATAAACAAAGATAACATTATATTTTAAGTCAAATTATCTGTAAATGTAGTATAATGGGTAATTTTATGTATTAACTTCCATAGCTAGGTACTCAGCTATTTAGTCAAATATTTTTCTGGAAGTTACTGAGAGGCTATTTTCAGATGACTTTAACTTTTAAATATGTGAACCTTGAGTAAACAAATTACTCTTCATTATGTGGATAAGCCTCATCCTATTAGTTGAAGATGTGAATACAACAAAAGACTGAATTCTGCCAGTAGGTAGCCTTCAGACTTGAATTACAGTAGTGGCTCTTCTCTGAGTCTCCAGCCGAATGGGCTGTTCTGCACATTTAACTTGCCAGCCTCCATAACCATGTGAGAAATACCTGAAACTAAATCTCTTACCTGGCTTTCCATTTTACGTCTCACATATTTTTTCTTGTCTTATTTAGTTAACTTAGTTTTACTAATATTTAGATACAGGATGAAAGGATTTCTTTTTATTTCAGTATGATTGAATATGCAGTTTTTATTTTTAACTCAAAATTATATATTTCTACCATATTCCTATAATCCTCAGAGTATGTTTTATAGGTATTTCTGCATTACTTGTCTGGTCAAGAGTTACTTGGCTACTTCACTCCAGATTGTGTTTGTGGAAGCTTATATAAAAATCAAATATAGCCAAAATAAAACAAAATTGAAAGTTAGAAAACAGGGAAAAGTAAATATACCAAAATCGTGTCACTGTGCTGACCATGATTCAGCAGAAAAATGAAAGATAATCTTATCAGCGTCTAAGGCTAAATATAAAGTGCAGCACCAGAACTATTTAGCTTAAAGGTAGAAATTTGCTCTGCCACCCACTGCTATGTAGGCTTGGACAAATTACTTAACCTTACTGAGATATGTAAATGTATACATATCTCATAAAATTACCATATGCCTAAGCTAAATGATACATGTAAAGAGTTCAGCAAGTGGCAGAAGATAACAGGCAGTCAATAATTTGTAAACACAAGCATGCATGCACAGAGACACACATACCTGAAATATGTTTTACTAAATGAGTCTTTAGTAAAAAGAAATTTTAATTTGTCTAATAACAAATGATTTCAGGTCATCTATGATACAGTGAAATCATTAACATGTGAAAATACAGAATTGTCCTAATAATTCAGACACGTTGAAAAAAGTATGACATCTATTATAACTATAAGCTTTTATATTACAAAGACTGTTTTCTTCATAGGATTTCGAAGAGTTTGTTCAAAGCTCTGGAAAAGATGGAGTTGTGGTGTTTACTCTGGGGTCAATGATCAAAAACCTCTCAGAAGAAAAGTCTAATATAATTGCATCAGCCCTTGCCCAGATTCCTCAAAAGGTCAGCTAAAATTTTTTTAAGGAAAAGTTATTTTAAAACCTCTTATAGAAGTATACTTTTAAGACTTAGGAAAGGCTATTGATATTGGTAATGTCAATTTAAGTGAACTCTAAAGAAAAAGTATAAATGTTAATAGGGAATATTTGATTGCTACCTTGCTTTAAAACTGGCATTATTCACAGGAAAATCTATTGCAGTATTTTCTTTAAATAACAAGCTAAAACTTAATCCTTTGTTATTGTTAAATGATCAGTCAGCTTTGTGCATAGGTTTTAAAGTATCCATGGAATCTAACATTTTATTTTTTTGCTGTTCTTATATTTTCTTTAAATCTGAAGCATATAAATAAGTTACAAATAACATGACAGAGAATACAGGAAAAGATAATGAAAATAATAGGCTTGATTTACAGAATGTCTTGGGACTATATTTCCTTATGATTAATTTTTTTTTATTGTGAGCCCTTATTTTAGATTCTAAAAATAATCCTAAATAAAGAGTCTTCTAATAATCCTAGAAAATGAATCCTAAAAGTGATCCTAAATAGTAATTCTAAATAATGATTCTTTTTTTAAAAAATCTATTGATTTTTTAATTGAGGGATAATTGCTTTACAGAATTTTGCTGTTTTCTGTCAAATTTCAACATGAATCAGCCATAAGTATACATATGTTTCTTCCCTCTTGAACCTCCCTCTCATCTCCCTCCCCATCCTATTTCTCTGGTTGATACAGAGCCCCCGATTGAGTTCATTAAGACATACAGCAAATTCCCACTGGCTATCAATTTTACAGCCTTTCCTGATAGCTTACATGGTTAAGAATCTGCCTGCAAGGCAGGAGACCCCAGTTGGATTCCTGGGTCTGGAATATCCTCTGGAGAAGGGATAGGCTACCCACTCAAATATTCTTGGGCTTCCCTTGTGGCTCAGCTCATAAAGAATCCCCCTGCAATGCAGGAGACCTGGGTATGATCTCTGGGTTGGGAAGATTCCCTGGAGAAGGGAAAGGCCACCCACTCCAGTATTCTGGCCTAGAGAATTCCATGGACTATATCCATGGCGTCGCAAAGAGTCAGACACAACTGACCAACTTTCACTTCAGTTCTTCACTTCATCTATTTTACATGTGGTAATGTAAGTTTCCATGTTATTCTCTCCATATATCTCACCCTCTGGTCTCCTCTCCCCATGTCCATAAGTCTGTTCTTTATGTCTGTTTCTCCATTGCTGCCCTGCAAATAAATTATTTGATACCATCTTTCTAGATTCCATATATATACATTAGTATACAATATTTGTCTTTCTCTCTCTGACTTACTTCATGTATAATAGCCTCTAGTTTCATCCACCTCATTAGATCTGACTCAAATGAGTTCCTTTTTATGACCAAGAAATATTCCATTGTGTATATGTAGCACAATTTATTTATCCATTCATCTGTCATTGGACATCTGGGTTGCTTCCATGTTCTAGCTATTGTAAATAGTTTTGCAATGAATATTTGGATACATGTGTCTTTTTCAGTTTGGGTTTCCTCAGGGTATATGCCTAGGAGTGAGATTGCTGGGTCATATGGTGGTTTTATTCCTAGTTTTTAAAAGAATCTCCATACTGTCTTACATAGTGGCTTTATCAATTTACATTCCCACCAACAGTGCAAAATATTACCCTTTCCTCGACACTCTCTCCAGCATTTATTGTTTGTACACATTTTGATGATGGCCATTCTGATTGATGTGAGGTGATATCTCATTGTAGTTTCAATTTGCATTTCTCTAATAATGAGTGATGTTGAGCATCTTTTCATGTGTTTGTTAGCCATCTATATGTCTTTGGAGAAATGTCAGTTTAGGTCTTTCCCCCACTTTTTCATTGAGTTGTTTGTTTTTTGGTATTGAGTTGCATGATCTGCTTATATATTTTGGAAATTAATCCTCTGTCAGTTGTATCATTTGCTATAATTTTCTCCCATTCTGAGGGCTGTCTTTTCACCTTGTTTAAAGCTACTCTGCTGTGCAAAAGCTTTTAAGCTTAACCAGGTCCCATTTGTCTACTTTTGTTTTTATTTCCATTACTCTAGGGGGTGGGTCATAGAGGATCTTGCTTTGATTTATGTCATTGAGTGCTCTGCCTGTGTTTTCCTCTTAGAGTCTTATAGTTTTTGGTCTTACATTTAACTATTTAATAAATTTTCAGTTTATCTTTGTGTATGGTGTTAAGAATTGTTCTAAGTTTATTCTCTGTAGCCGTCCAATTTTCCCAGCAACACTTATTGAAGAGACTGCCTTTGCCCCGTTGTATATTCTTGCTTCCTTTGTCAAAAATAAGGTACCCATAGGTGCATGGGTTTATTTCTGGGCTTTCTATCTTATTCTATTGGTATATATTTCTGTTTTTGTGCCAGTACCATCCTGTCTTGATGACTGTAGCTTTGTAGTATAGTCTGAAATCAGGAAGCTTGATTCCTCCAGCTCCATTCTTCTTTCTCAAGACTGCTTTGGGTATTTGGGGTCTTTTGTGTTTCCATATGAATTGTGAATTTTTTTGTTCTAGTTCTGTGAAAAATGCCACTGATAATTTGATAAGGATTGCATTGAATCTGTAGATTGCATTTGGTCATATAGTCATTTTCACAATATTGATTCTTCCTTTCCAGGAGTATGGACTATCTCTCCATCTATTTATATCATCTTTGATTTCTTTCATCAGTGTCTTATAATTTTCTGTTTTGTGCAGTTCTCTTGTCTCCTTAGGTAGGTCTGTTCCTAGATATTTAATTCTTTTTGTTGCAATGGTGAATGGGATCGATTCCTTAATTTCTTTTTCTGATTTTTTCATTGCTAGTATATAGGGATGTGAGTGTTTTCTATGTATTGATTTTGTATCCTGAGACTATGCTAAATTTGCTGATTAGTTTTAGTAATTTTCTGATAGTACCTTTAGGGTTTTCTATGTATACTTTCATGTCATCTGCAACAGTGAGAGCTTTATTTATTCTTTTCCAATCTAGATTCCTTTCACTTTTTCTTCTTCTCTGATTGTTGTAGCTAGGACTTCCAAAACTATGTTGAATAATAGTGATGAGAGTGGACACCCTTGTCTTGTTCCTGATCTTAGGGGAAATGCTTTCAGTTTTTCACCATTAAGAATAATGTTTGGTATGGGCTTATCATATGTGGCCACTAATCAATAATGATTCTTAAATAGTTAAAACTTTAATAATATAGTAAAAGATTTATAAGTATACTTTATAATGTTCCAGCTATATACTTTTTAATTGATATCATTCTAGATTGTAACTGACTTTCCCTCTAGTTTTAGTTAAAATAGACCTTTACAATGCATTTAAGTTTCAAAAAATTATAACAATCCTTATACTTATATCCAAAATATTTTCAAAAATTGCTTTGTAAAAGTAATACCCATTTAAAAATTTAACCTAAAAGGCATCATCATAAAAATATTGAACTTTCAATTGCATTAAAATACAATGCTTAAGAGTGGCATCACTGAAGGGTTGGAAAAAAACAAAAACTGTCTCTCCAAAACGATGCTGAATAAAAATAGTGAGAGGGAACATCCTTGCCTTATTCCTGGTCTTAGAAGAAGTGCTTTTAGTTTTAGTCATTGAGAGTAATGTTTGCTATGGTTTTGTCATGAACGTGAAAGTCACTCAGTCGTGTCTGAATCTTTGTGACCTCATGGGTATAGTCCATGGAATTCTCTAGGCCAGAACACTGGAGTAGGTAGCCTTTCACTTCTCCAGGGGATCTTCCCAACCCAGGGTTTGAACCCAGGTCTCCTGCATTGCAGTCAGATTCTTTATGACCTGAGCCACAAGGGAAGCCCAAGAACACTGAAGTGGGTAGCCTATCCCTTCAGAGGATCTTCCCAACCCAAGAATGGAATTGGAATCTCCCATCACAGGTGGATGTTTTGCCAACCGAGCTATCAGGGAAGACCTGGGTTTCTTGAATATGGTCTTTATTATGCTGAGGTAGCATTTCTCTATGCCCACATTCTACAGTTTTTATTATAAATGGGTGTTGAATTTTGTCAAAAGATTTTTCTGCATCAGTTAAGATGATGATATGGTTTTACTCTTTAGTTTGTTAATGTGATGGTGGTGGTGGTTTAGTCATTAAGTCCTGTCTGACTCCTGTGACCCCATGGACTGTAGCTTGCCAGGCTTTTCTGTCTGTGGGATTCTTCAGGCAAGAATACTGGAGTGGGTTGCCATTACCTTCTCCTAGGAATCTTCCTGATCCAGAAATTGAACCCGGGTCTCCTGCATTGCAGGCAGATTCTTTACTGACTGAAAGATTCTTTACCAACTGTTAATGTGGTGTATCACATGAATTGATTTGTATATATTGGACAATCCTTGCATCTCTGTAATAAATCCCACTTGATTATGGTGTATGATCCTTTATATGCCTTGGCGGATTCAGTTTGCTAGTGTTTTGTTGAAGATTTTTGTATCTATGTTCATCAGTGATATTGGCCTGCAATATTCTTTTTTTGTGATATCTCTGTTTTTTGTATCAGGGTGATGGTGGCCTCATATAATGAGCTTCAGAATGTTCCTCCCTCTGCAATTTTTTGAAAGAGTTTCAGAAAAATAGGTGTCAATTATTTAAATTTTGACAAAGTTTGCCTATAAAGCTATCAGGTTCTGGTCATTTGCTTGTTGGAACATTTTAAATCACAGTTTCAATCTTAGTACTTGTGATTGGTTTGTTTTCATTTTCTGTTTCTTCCCAGTTCAGTTTTAGGAGACTGTACTTTTCTAAAACTTTGTCCATTTCTTCCAGGTTGTCTTTTAATGGCATACAGTTGCTTCTAGCAGTCCCTTATGGTCCTTTGTATTTCTTTATTGTGCATTGTAACTTCCTTTTTATTTCTCATTTTATTGATTTGAGCCCTTTCCCTTTGTTGTTTGATTGATTTCACTGAAATTTTGTTAATTTTGTTTATTTCTCAAAAAAACAGATTTTAG